CAAAAATGTATATATAACTCAAAGATTATCCCTACCTCAAGTTTTAGAGAAAAAGAGAGAAGAAACCTCCAAAATTAACAGTATTAAAACTTAAAACAAAACTTGGTCCACTTCTCATTTAGCGTTAATTATTAATCAAATAATGGCCACGAAAGCATTGACGATAAATTATAATTCAACTAATTAGATTTTGGAAAAATTATCAGAAAGTCCTCTATGCAAATAAATTATTCCGATAAGTTTTATAGACCTGCTAGTCACATCCGGTTTATTTTGACAATTTTAACATGAGATCTTATTTTAAATTTTGATATGATATGGTGAATATTTCTATCTTTCCTTATTGGGAGACGTCATCTCAGGAAAGTTTTGGATCCAATTTTTGGATCACTTTCCATCATTTTAATATAATACTCAAATATAACATTTTAAAAAAATTATTTAATGTATATTTTGAAAACATAACACACTAAAAAATTTATTAATGTACTTTTCCCAAACGCACACTACAACAATTTACGTTTTTGGCAACTAAATTTGGTGACCAAAAATAATTTAGTCCCCAAAAGTTATACAATATGCGACTAAAAATTAAATTGGTCGGGGTATTGTCACACCCCAAAAATTCCCTCCATCAATAATCATTAACTCCAATTGTTAATCATAAACATGGGTAGCGTTCAACGTTAACATCGTCTACAATCTCTACATTTGTATTCATTGAACATTGAGAGATTTACAAAAAGTGTTCCACATGTAAATATACATTCAACATCCCTAATATATGAATTTATAGCATGTAGCATAGTAGTTCAAATACAATTAAAATGCTCTCAAGGGTTACAATTTTCAAGGCTTAGGCCTGGTTATACAAAAATAGTTTCAATCCATACAGATTAAGCCCTTGGCTTGCCAAAAATAGTTTCAACAAAAGGAAAGAGCCTCGTGCTTTCAAAACATATCTCACGCCTCTAACTTGGCGGAATCATCATATCTTCTCCCGCACAAAATCCCATAGGGATGAGCACAAAGTCCCATAGGAAAATCTTAACAAAGTATATACATTTTAAACAATCTCATGAAATAAATACACATGCCATGTCATGTTCAAAATAACATATATCTTTATCTCTTTTTTTTGAAAACCTTCATACATGATGTAAGCATGAGAAATCGACCTTTCAATCATTTCAACAGAGTTAACAGGGGCGGTAAATACGACTCAGGTAATCCCTAAGTTTGTATCTGCAAGTAGGCTTAACAAACACTACCCAATTTCCACTTTACCGGTAGCTAACCGGAAGGCACATGATACCTCCTCTACGCGTGTTTTCGATCTTTCACTATGGACACTCAGGCCAACTTAATCAATACCATCTATACCCCCTATCCGGACTTACTAATGTATTTATCTCCAAACAAATCGATATAATTTTGTTTCACAATTCAATTTCCATTCTCAAAATAATTCTTTCATCAAAACAATAGTTTTCAATTAAAATTCTACATCAATAATAACAAATGAAATGGAATGGCAATGCGATATGCAACAATGTATTTGAAAAATTCCAATCTCAATTTCCACCACACAATCTTTCATTGTGACAAAATTCCCATACCTCTTCACAGGGAAATCTCAAAATAAGTTTATCAAATGGTAAATAACAACACTAATTACATGCATCTTCCACATGTTAATCAACCATTTCAAATTAACCACTTCAAGACAAGTTAATGATAGTAATATCTCAAACTCTCAAATTCAACATTTCTTGTCTTACCAAGAATTTCTTCATTTAAAAACAAACATGGCAATCCTCCATGATTTATACACCATAATATTTTATAAATCATAAATTTCATCATATCACAACATTTTCCAAAATCCCCAAAATTCTAGAGTTTCACCAAAACTAGGTTTTTCATCATTTTTGAAAGGGTTTCTCAACAATAACCTTCTTCAACAATGTAGTTCATACCCCCAAGAGTTTTCTTTGAAAACATTGATAAAACCCCTTTTTTAAATTCATCAAGACACCATGAATCAAAATAAAACTTCCATACTACAAGAAGAAGTTCCAAATCAACAGACTTGCAAAAATGTATATATAACTCAAAGATTATCCCTACCTCAAGTTTTAGAGAAAAAGAGAGAAGAAACCTCCAAAATTAACAGTATTAAAACTTAATCTCCACCACACAAAAGGTAGACCTCAAAGAGTTCTCTAACTTTGATGAAAGGACTAGAGTTAAAACTCTAATGGATTTGGACATATCAAGGGTTTAATGTAGTTTGGTGAGGGAAAAGTAGAGAGAATGGAGAGAAATGTGTTTTTCGAGAGAGAGAGAGATGACAGAAAAGTGAGATACACTTAGTCCAAGGGGAAGAAAAGGAGAAAAATTTTGGACTCAACACTTTTCGTACGTTTTCTGCACGAAGGCGCGTGCTCTTCCGCACATGCAGCCTCTTTCCCCTTACACGTGGTTGTTTCCTGCACCTGCCTCCACACGTGAAATTAAAGTAACCTGGCATCATCTGTTGCCTCACCTTAACGCACGTGCTGCCTCACCTCCCGCACATGCAACCTAAGCCCTCGCACGTGCAGTTCTGCCCTCCACCCATAAAACAATCTAGTTGAAATCGAGACACCCCTAATCCAATTTCACGCCTTTCAAAACAAGCGAAACCTAACTCAAGAATAAAATAAAGACAAGAATCTGAAGGAGGTTTCAAGAATGGTAAACCCAAACAGTCAACAAGACCTCAAATTAATCCCCGACACTTTTAATACGAGTAAGCTAATCACAAATAAATGAAAACAAGACGGGTTACGTACCTGGTCATCACAGGTATATTATTTATTGGCAGCTAAAAAATAATTTAGTCGCTAAATATGTCACAATAGGCGACTAAAAAATTTTTGGTCAACATTAGTTCAGGTTTTAGGCTAATAAACTTTGTTTTAGCCGTCGTATACTAATTTTTACCTACTAAAATAAATTTAGTCACCAAATAACTAGCATAATGTTTGTTCTTAATCTTCGGCGGCCAGAGGTTTGGTTGGCAAACATTCATTTTCGGTGACCAAAAAAATTTTAGTCGCTGTATAGTAATTTTTGCTTACTAAAATAATTTAGTAGCTAAATAAAAAGCATAAAAATTTTGGCGACCAAACATTTGTAGCCAAAAAAGAGCTGAAGTTGTTGGCGACTAACCAATTGATAGCTAAAAAGGACCTCAATGTTTTTAGTTACTAATTATTTGGTAGCTAGAAAAAAACCAAATGGTTTTGGCGACTAAACATTTAGTAACCAAAAAAATGAGACTTTAGGCGTCAAAAATTTTAGTAGCTAAAAAAATAAGATGAATTTTTTTGTTTTTTGTTTTGTTTTGTTTTTTTTTTTTGCGACTAAATATTTAGTAATGCAAAATAATTGAAGTCTCTAGCAACCAAATGATTTGGTCCGTAAATGTAATACTATTGCAACTAAAGTTATCCGCAACTAAATATTTTAGTTACTGAAAAATAAAATCATATTCTATTGAAAAGTTTTGGTGACTACATGTTTAGTAGTCAATTGATGACTTTCGGCGACTGAACAAAATTTTGACGCCAATTACCTTTCCCGACAATTATTCAACGACTAATCTGTTGGCCAAACAATTTAGTCGGTAAAACGTTTCAGCGACAAAAAGTGACTTTTGGCGACTAAAAATTTAATCGTTAAAAGTGCCATTTGTTGTAGTGGTAATACTCTAATACTCCAAGGTAACACACTAAAAATTTTCTAATTATACTTTTCACAAACGTGACACGCTAAAAAAACTCCAACAACTTAACACTCTAACACTAAAAACTCCTTAGTATACTTTTCTTAAACGTAACACTCAACACTAAAAGACTCCCCAATATATTTCTTTTCAAATATAATACTCCAAAAATGTAACACTAAAAAACTCTTTAGTCTATTTTTTTTTAAATGTAACACTCCAACATAACTTCTAAATGTAACACTCACATGTGACGGACAAATGAGTCATTACACACCTAAAAGGACTAAATAGATTATAAGAAAAAATATGAGACTATATAGATTACAAGTCCAAAATGTAAGACTTATTGGTCAATCTCTCTTCCTTTTTTAATAGTAATTATTAATCAAACAATTCATCATTTACATACTCGTTAATCTTGTTACATTTCTTAGGCGTTGTTTGAGAACCTCACAAAATAGTTAATTTTTGACTAAAAAGCTTTAAAAAAATCACTACGTTATTTGTTAACCTAAAAAGCTAAATGTCACATTGACTTTTTGATTTTTTAATTAAAATGTATAGTTGACGAACGAGTCCTAACTTTTCACTCACAAAAAATAAATTTTTTTACCAACTTTTTAAACACAAATTTTTTGAACTCCTAAAAAATTACAAAATCAGAAAAAATAAAAAAAAAAACCTCAAACGACTACTTAATCAAGTGGGTATCGCAAACCTTCCCCTTCCCCAAGCTACGGCCTCTTATTTGCTTCGAATGAAAGTAAAGTCACTGTTATATCAATTCTCAAATTTATTTTATTTTATTACCAATTTCTCTCAAAAATTCTTTTTAACTAAATACATACAAGAAAATGAATTTAGTTTTTTTTTTTTTTCACTTTACTTAATTTCTATCATTTTTATTTTTCATTACTATATTTTTGCCTTTTTCAAACCAGGATACGTCATCATTGACGTTAAGTAAATAGACACTCTCTCTCCTAAAACATTTGATAAAAGAAACATCAAAAAAACCTCCTGGCCCTGAGAGTCTTCCGTCCATGATGTTACTTGAATTTGGTATATTTGAACATTTCATTGACTGGCTGTCGACTTCTTGATATATGCTTTACCTATTCAAACTTTGCTAGATAATAATATTGAAATTTTGAAGAAAACCCTATCAAAAAGTTCAACCAAATCAACTACGCTTTTTACACCTTCAATATTACAGCTTGAATTTGATGCCTCTATATAAGTGGCTCAGCCCTTTCACCACCACTTCAACATTGCTCAAAGTAGGAAACATGAATAAGCTAACAATCCAATTTTTGCTATGCAGTTTCTTTATTTCTTTCGTTCTCCTTTCAATTTCATGCCCAGCAACATCTGAGGAAGTTGGTGAGTCATTTCAAACTCTAAATAAAGCTTTAAATGTTCTTGGTTGGTTCTATTTTGTGTAGTTTATGAGGTAGTTTATAATTTTTTTTATATTTTAAATATTTGTGTCGGATTGTTTTATATAGTTTCTGTTTGTATCTTATGAGATAAAAATTGTAAACAAGCTTAAAAAGGGTTCATTATTGAAAAGCAAGGAAATTGTTACTTTTTTGCTTTTGCTTTTTGATTATCGACTTTTTTAGATTGTAAGAAGTTGTCCAAACAGGTCCTTCAAGTAATTTCATAACACTCTTGCTTATTGTTTCTCTTTTGTTATTTGTCACGATGCAGAGAATGAGAGAGAATTTAATTACGATGAAAACAGTGATAAAGGACCGGATCATTGGGGAGAGATTCATCCAGAATGGAGTTTGTGTAAAAATGGAACCATGCAGTCTCCAATCGATATGCTAAATGAGAGGGTTAAAGTAGTCTCCTACTTGGGGAAACTTAAAAGGGATTACAACCCCTCTAATGCCACCCTTATTAATAGGGGCCATGATATGAAGGTAAGGAGATCTCACTGGGGGAAAAAAATCATTTTTTGCAACGTGTTGATTTGTTGCAAAATCTCAAATTTGTTGCTAAAGGTCTTTTTTTTCTTTTTTCTTATAACGAGTTCGGTTTTGAATGAGAGAGAGAGAGAGAGAGAGAGATCCTACATCTTTTTCTCAAGAGCAAATCTTCTCCAAGCCATAAAATTTTAGTTCATGTCTAGTCCGTTATGCACCATCCATTTCAATGGCTTGTCACATTGATGCAAGAATTCACTTAAAATAGATAATGAATGATGAATTGTCTAGTCTGAGAAGGCCAATCGATCTCTTAAAAATGATAAATAAAATTCGCAAGTGTAAATCGTTGGACATTGATCCGACAATTGCAAGACCACTTGTATGACTCAATAAAATTCACTCCAATATCACCGCGGGGCGGGGGGTGGGAGGGGAGGTTAATATTATTAACAATTGCAAGACCACTTGTATGACTCAATAAAATTCACTCCAATATCATCGGAAGCAAGTCAAAACATCACATCATCATGTGAGATCTACCATTAGAATTTTTAAATTAGAATTCTCAAACATTATTGTATTTTAATATGACATGTAAAGCACAATAGTAGCATGATTTGTGGTACCTACTTAGATAATTGGTTAAAAAGCACAAGGAACAAATAACAAAAGGGCTTTCAAAAAATTTCTTTATTTTAATGTCCATCTTGTTGTGGTACTTATGTTTGATTTGATTAATTTTTATTCATATATGGATATATATTTGTGAATGCAGTTGGAATGGGATGATGGTGCGGGACATATTGAAATCAATGGAACTGAGTATGAACTCAAACAGTGCCATTGGCACTCTCCTTCTGAACACACTATCAATGGAAGAAGGTGCTTCTCTTTCCTTTCTCTCTCACACACTAGACGGATGCAAAGCTGAAATATTTTTACTATGTATATATATAATTTTGAATAAATTAAAAACAGGTTTGATCTAGAGCTTCACCTGGTTCACGAGAGCAAGAGTGGAAGGAGTGCTGTCACTGGTATCATGTACAAACTTGGACGACCTGATTCTTTCTTGTCTGAGGTATTTTTGTTTTATTCGTTTTTGTTTTCTAGTATTTTCAAAAACAAAAATAATGAAAAGCTTTAAAACACCTATTCATTTCATATCGTTTTTATTTTTTTAGTATTCCTTCAAAAGTGGGTTGTTTAACCAAAAAAAAATTAATTACATTTACCACCTTACACTTTCACTAAAATATCACTTTGGTCCCTCCACTATCAATTGTGACAGTCAATCCATATAAGTCAAGTTGCAATGTCATATTTTTGTTTGTTAACTTAAAAATTGAGGGTTAAAAGGGAGATTTTGGTGAAAAATAGAAGAGGTGTTAATGAAAAGAGAAAAATGTCATCACTTATCGATCATACAACAAGTTCCGTCAGTTTAGGTGACATTGTTACTTGACTTAAACTGTCATTGGTTAACCGTCTAAAATGAGATTTTTGGTGAGAGTGTAGAGTTATGAAGTGTAATTAACCCTCCAAAAATTAAAGCGAAAACAAGTGTTTCTATGTTTTTTCGGAAAAATGAAAACATAATGCCTGGTGATCTATTCCTTCTTTCAGATGAACCAACACTTTGCAGCCATTGCAAAAACAGGAGAAGAAGAGAGGGAGGTTGGTATGGTTAACCCAAAGCATATTAAGATGGGAAGCAGAAAGTATTACAGATACATTGGCTCTCTTACTGTTCCACCTTGCACTCAAGATGTTGTATGGACCATTGTAAGAAAGGTATGTAGTATCGTCTTCAACAAGCCTCCCTATCATCATCATCATCATCATCATCATCATCATCATATAATAAGTTTATCAAATTCTATTCCTAGTCATAAATAAATTATACAATCTTTCTAAATTTTTAATGTTCATTGAATTCTTCAGGTGAGGACTGTCTCTAGAGAACAAGTGAGATTGATTCGTGATGCTGTTCATGATGTGAGTAGCTATTTTATTGAATTTTTCTCATCCAGTTTTTCTATTTGCATAAAATTTAATCATTAAATTTGACACAATTATCTCACAAAAGTGTGGGACGCAGAAAAAAGATGAGACTCACTTCATGTGAGAGAATTATATCCGTTTATGTATTCCTAGATTTTTCATTCTCATACAAAGATAGTAAAGGCATAGTTTTAAGTCCATGAAAATTTTGACATTTAAAATGTGTTTTTGTCTTCTATCTACAATTTTCAGAAAAGAATACTATTGAAACAAATATTTTTCAACCAAGGAAGCAAATTGTCTCCTGTTCAACTTGGTGGATTGGACAATCAAATTACCCATGCTCTATATATTTTTTTTTTCAAAAAAATGATAGTCCAGTTCACCAAGTTGCTTCCTTTTACAAATGGATGTCACATTTAAGATTAAATTGTTCTAATCATTTAATTTTAGTAAGTCCCATTTTAATACCAAGATTTTATTACTAGAGGCCACACCAATTTATAAAAAAATAAAAGAAAATTGTATAAGTTGGTTTGAGTAGAATTTTTCTTTTCGAAAACTACTTATTCTTTTTTCTTTTTTTCCAATTAGTGTTTTCGAATTTCTTGGTATTAATGATTTCAGACAATCTTACAACCATTATATACAATGAATTTTGTATTTTTGTTTTATTTGTTTGCTTCTTTTTTTTTTTTCAAATAATACAATGAACAAATTTTGTGTTAACACATGATATGTTTTTCTGCAGGCACATGAAACTAATGCAAGACCATTACAACCGATAAACATGCGCTTGGTGAAACTTTATCAACCACAAGATCATGATCTTTGAAATTCAATATGAAGATGACCATGGATCCTCCGATTATGGCTTTTCACTTCCATTTCTTTTTTTGTAATGTATTTTTGGTACACATGATCTAATAATTCCATTGTAACGGGGTGAATAAGAAAAAGAAAGTAGAAGGTTAACGAACAAAGAAAAATTATGAGAAGAACAAGAGCATAGCTCTGTAATTCATTCAAAATATCCTAATAATAATCAATAGCTAGTTACATCTCCATCTTCCAATATTATATTCATTCAAAATTTTACTCATAATTGAAATTTACACCCCATGTTTCATGGTAAAATGATATTGTGATGGTGTCTACAAACAGTTCTGTAATAGATAATAGATTGGTGAAAAGTAAGATAGCATAGATGATAAATTGGAAGAAAGAAAGTGCTAATTTAAAAGTAAAGACTTGGACACAAAATTCAACATTTACTTAAGAAAAATGCTACGGTGCCAGATTAATCTACTCAGAATTTTCTAGGTAGTATGTTTGTGCAGTAGAGATTGAATTTTTTTTTTTTTGATCGGCAAAAAAGAAACATTATTGATTGAATAAACAAGTACAAGGTACAAGACAAATTACATCAATAAAGAAAAGAGAAGTGCAAAAGTATCATAATGAGCTAAATGATCCCAACTAAGTTGGCACCAGAAAGCTCATCCTATCATTTACTTACACCTCAAAGTTGGTGAGAGACCAACGAAAAAAGAGAACAGACCAACAGACTACAACATTTGATGCGGACACACCAGAGAGCACCAATTCGAATCAAAATACAGAATTGAAACACAGCCCAGAATCAACCACATTTTGAAGTCCTTGAGCTCATTTTGCTAGCATAATCTCCATCCATAGATAGAAGCTCCCAACCTCAAGCAGCCTAGCCAAGCTTCACCTTCCAGCAAATTGATGAGTACTCCAGGCATCATGCAGCTTTAATTACCTATAAACAACACCAAATCTGGCTGGTCTGGTTTAACTTGACCACAGAATCAGTAGCAACAGCTTAGTGCACTCAGCAATGACCCTGCACAATCAAACACTCACATAGAGTACAAACTCCCCTCTATTTGCGATGCCTCTACAACTTGAGCATCACCTGATGAAGAACTCTGAAACATACAACCAGTATAGTAGCAACACAGATACCTTTTCACCAACTGCAAAAAACCAGTAGTAGAGAGCAGCTGCCAGAATAGGTTAGAGAAGCCACCATTAGTGCAGTTAGGTATAGCATACCCACACCTTCAACAATCACCAAGACTATGCAACCTCAAACTCAATGCCACACTCCATATCTGTAGCAGCTGCTAGGATGACTCCCAACTATACACAATAGCATACCCACAACCAACATAGCAGACCAAATATAGCAGGACTTTGACTCTTCCTATTATTACCTACCAATTCAGCATTCCATAGATTAGCATTGGGCTTGATCATCGCCTCCAACTCGAGCAATGTTGTCCCCTTTTTCACGTCACAGAACTCCTTCACATAGTCGTTGTAAGACACACCTTCGTGATCATCAGACACATGCTCTTCCCTTCAATAGAACATAACAGTCTCTGTATCAACCCATTCAGCCCAGATGCAGGACACATAACAGAACAGATCAGATTCAGCCCAGATGCACATAACAGAACATATCAGATTCAGCCCAGATGCAGGACACACTTGAGAGCACCACAGTGGACAGAGTCCTTAGGCAACAGATCAGCCTAGATCAGTCCAAAATGCAGAATCCATTTCCTTTGATTAGATCATGATGACCAAATCTCTTTCATTAACTCTTTGATTAGCTTCAGAACCAGCATGTAGACAGTACAGCAATACCAGTAGCAACGGCAGCCCAGCAGTGCAAAGTTGGTTAAGTGCAAACCATACACCATTGAAGAGGGGTTGATGATGACCCACTGATGCAGACCCACTGATGATGACAAACGAATCAGATCAAACCATATGCCACCATTGAAAGCAAAAAACCCAGCAAACATCCCTAGACAAAACAAATCAATACATATCAGCAAACATTCAGACCAGATGCAGGACACACTTGAGAGCACCACAGTAGGCAGAGTCCTTAGGCAACAGATCAGTCCAAAATGCAGAATCCATTTCCTTTGATTAGACCATGATGACCAAATCTCTTTAATTAACTCTTTGATTAGTCTAAAAGTAGAATAACAACATATTATGGAACTTGGGCTGCAGAATACTCAGCAATGCAAAGTTGGTTGAGTGCAAGCCATACAGCAACAGGCAAAATCACATAGGGATGGTGAGAGACCAGACCCAGCAAGAATAAAAAAACCCCTAGGAAAATCAAGACCAATCTAACAGGCCTAAACCACACAAATAACTCCCCTAGCAGAAGCCTAAAACGAGACCAAATCAACCCCTCAGACATAATCTAACTTGCTTTAGATTATACACAATATCATTAATTGAGTAAGTAAAAGAGGGGTTAGAAGTTCTGACCCATAAAGCAACCCTGACCTTGATTGAATCACATAACCCTTCAAAATTCACCGGCGAGCCCTTAAAAATGCTTTCATTCCTCTGCTTCCAAATAGACCAAACCACCGCCAATGGTATAGCTTTCCAGATGGGTAACTCCTTTTTTTTTTTTAGTTTTAATCTAGTCCACCACTGCAGCAAACCATACACGGATCCAGGCATTGCCTAATATACATCCTACCAACTGATAATATTTGACCTAATCCTTCAAATAAATGGACAAAATAGCAGCACATGATTTATATTTTCTACTTCATCCCTGTAGAAAATACAGTTAATGTCTGAAGTAGCAGCAAGGACACCTAGTCTTTGAAGATAGCTGACTGTCTTAATTCTCTCTTTCCATGCTAACCACCCAAAAAACTGCACCTTAGGTGGAGCCAAATTCTTCCATAAACACCCTACTAAGTTACTACTAGCTTCAACAGATGCTGCACTCCACTTATAAGCAGAAGCCACAGTAAAAACCCCAGAATTTTCTGCATTCCATTTCAACCTGTCCACCATCTCATCCCGAATAGCAGAAGCATTAAGAAGCATTATTCTCAGTCTCCTCAATTCTTCTAGTTCCCACTGAAATAAGGCTCTCCTGAAAATCGGCTTCCACTCTTCATTTCCATTTCTCCTACTGCTTACCATTTCCACAGATTCATCTTTGTCAAGGGACACAAAATATAGTCTTGGAAATTCATCTTTGAGACATATGTTTCCAACCCAATTATGAAGCCAGAACTTGATGTTCCTTCTATCACCAACTATAAGGGAGATATTATTTTTGAAGAATTCCACCAACTGAGGCCAATGAGCAGCAATCCCCTGGATATCTCTCCAGACCAGAGATAACCTTGGACCCTCAACAGGTAGTGGCCACCAACCCCCTCCAACCTCACCATATTTGCTGCAAATCACTTGTTTCCAGAAAGCTTCAGTTTCAGATCCAAATCTCCACCACCACTTCAAAAGAAGACAAGCATTCATAAGCCTCACTTTTCTTATACCTAAAGCCCCATTACTTTTGTTTTATGTTACTTCCCCCCATTTTACTAGATGAATTTTTCTTCTTAGAGCACCACCTCCCCATAAAAATCTGGACTGGATTTTATCAATCTCCTTAGTAACTGCTTCAGACATCTTGAACAAAGATAGATAATAGGCCTGTTTGGTAGAGCTTATAAGCTACTTATTTCAGCTTTTAGCTTAATTTAAGTTAAAATATTGCGTTTGGTGCAGCTTAAGTTAACCAGTTTATAGCTTAAATCAAGTTATTTCTCAGCTTATCTCAAAACCTGGTCAGGGGGTGCTTAAATTTTTGACTTAAGGGCGCAGCTGGTGTGGGGGGCTAACATTACTTAAATGTCCTCATCAATACCCAAATATTAATATTAATATTAATTAAAAAAAAATTGTATATTTCTGAAGAAAAATAAAAAAATCAATATTAATTAAAAAATAAATATTAATTGGTATTAATTATTAATAAATTCATATTGTATATTTTTATATTAATTAAAAAATAAAAAATTGTATATTTCTGAAGAAAAAGAAAAAAATCAATATTAATTGAAAAATAAATATTAATTGGTATTAATTATTAATAAATTCATATTGTATATTTTTATATTAATTAAAAAATAAAAAATTGTATATTTCTGAAGAAAAAGAAAAAAATCAATATTAATTGAAAAATAAATATTAATTGGTATTAATTATTAATAAATTCATATTGTATATTTTTATATTAATTAAAAAATAAAAAATTGTATATTTCTGAAGAAAAAGAAAAAAATCAATATTAATTGAAAAATAAATATTAATTGGTATTAATTATTAATAAATTCATATTGTATATTTTTATATTAATTAAAAAATAAAAAATTGTATATTTCTGAAGAAAAAGAAAAAAATCAATATTAATTGAAAAATAAATATTAATTGGTATTAATTATTAATAAATTCATATTGTATATTTTTATATTAATTAAAAAATAAAAAATTTATATTTCTGAAGAAAAAGAAAAAAATCAATATTAATTAAAAAAATCAATATTAATTGGTATTAATTATTAATAAATTAATATTGTATACTTTTGTAATGAATTAATTATTAATTGATACTAATTAATAACAATTGTTGATTATTAATATTAATTGATACTAATAAAAATTAATTATTAATATTAATTTATACTAATTAATAATTTTAGTATTAATTGATACAAATTAAGCAATTAATTGATACTAATTAATTTATAATGGAAAAAAATTATGACAATAATACTTCCATTACATTTTTATCAAATGTATCAATTTTTTTATTAATTGATACTAATTAATACTAATTATATTAACTTTTATTAATGAAATAATTTTTTTTAAAATTAAAACTGAAAAAAATGATAAAATAATCATTTTTATATCATATAAGGGTAGAAAGGACAATTATACAGTAAAAAGTTATTTTACAACTTATTAACCAAACACTACTCTGCTGCTTAAATTCATAATCCCACAGCTGCACCAAACAGGTTAACAGTTTATGTTCACAGCTATAAGTCATAATCTGTTAAGCTATAATCTATAATCACTTTTCTACAGCTCTACCAAATGGGGCCAATATGTTGGTCAGGATGATAACACAGACTTTATCATTGTCATCCTACCAGCAAAAGATAAGAACCTCCTTTTCCAAGAAGCCAA